ACATGAATGTCCCTCTCAATTAGGACTCTTCAAGCTAGAGTCGTAACAACCTCCTCTTTCGTTGATACAACTCGTGTGATTTCTAGTACTACGATAAGAAGATGTGTTGGAACCGGAACCAGCCCTCACTGAACCGATTATTTTGGCTTCAGAATCGACGTTTTGATTTTTCAAATCAGATTTGAACTGCTAATTTTTTTAATTACAAATAATTTAAAATATAAAAAATTTATAATTTTATTTTTAAAATTTTAAAAATATATTTATAACTATAATGAGTGTAATAACATTAAAAAAAAAGTTGATATAAAATAATAAAATTTTTAATCACTTTCGATATTGGATATTTTGATTATCTCTTTAGTTGATATATTGAATCGAAAGTCATAATCTTCACGAATGATCTCTTAATTTTGTTTAAACATCTTGATTATATCAGTGTTGATGCATATTTGATCTCCAATTGCTTTGGGAACTGAGTTTTATCGGTGTTGTATCCTCTCGTGTCGAATGCTTACTCCGACATAAAAGTTATTAAAATTTCTCTTATAATCATCGTCAAAATTAAAAATATACTTATATATCATGTTCACCATTCAAAAATAGAAAACTCTATACTTATAATAATGCTGTCACCAAACTTACGAAAAGTTGTTAAATAAATATCAAGCTCAGGGTTTGAGCTTGATAATCCTCTTGGTTTTTTCTATTTTATATTAATAATTTATCATCCTTGCAAAGTTTCAAAGATGGTTTTTGTTTGGTGACCAATTCTATAAGTTTGAGAGGTATTTATAAGTTTCTCAAAGGTTTTTTTTTAAAATAAAATGCCCTTAAAACTAGGTGTTATTTAGCTATTGGAAGGGGTAATTTTATTTTATTTTTAGTTTTTTATATTTTTAATTGCGAAATGATTTGGATACACTTAAAATTGTGAAATAGTTTTTTATATGTTGGGAAGGACAAATTGATCATTTATCTCTCGAATTTGTAGGCCAACCCCATTTGAGCCATTGGACTGTTGGGCCGACCATTTGAGCCCTAATGGTTTGGTCAAGCCCAACATTGATTGACCCTTTCTTTTTTTGTTTTCTTTAAACTGTGAAACCGATGAATTCGATTTCCAAAACTTCGGGACTGCTGACTCCAATTTGTCAAACTTAGAAATCACAACTAAACTGTCCGAGACACCACCGATTCTAGTTCGATTTGAAACCGATGAACGGATTGGATTCCGGTTCAAACCAAACTGCCAATCGTGATCATACATACACACCTAAGCGGATCTGATGGAGGTGCAGAATTGGACAGCTGCTGGAGTCAGTGTTAGCATGAGCATTAGGCCCCATCAGTCAAAATCATCATCTTTCTTCAACACGGTCTACTAACACCACTAGATTGATTTGAGATATTCATTACATTTTTTTATTAGCTACAGGATGTGGTATATAAAGAAAGATCTTCAATTGTATGTACAACCAATGAAATTATAGAATGGCTTTGATTCTAACACCATTCAACTTATGCTACAGGGCTGGTCTTCTTCGTATAACCCTGAAGCCACAAGCCGTCGTATGATGCTGATGATACCAATCATGATAGTGGGCATGGATATCCAGCCATTGCTTTCGTTGCGTCAGAATGCTTTGTGCTTGAATAACCGGAGGGACTTCCTTCGTGATTTGATACTAATTCTCTGAATGCAACTACGTTTGACCCCTCTGCTGCAAGACATAGCCTTTTCAGATCTCAGCCAATTCTTCAAGGTCTTTCTCAGTGTTCCTCATCACACAAGTGTCGAGTCTCAATTCACCGAAAAGATCGGTGGAATACACACATTATAGACAAATTGTTCATCTCTTGACAGACTATATAGATATCTGGTGACATTTCATGACAAATCGTCTTTCTACATGGTGCTTTGTCTTTCTCCATTGATTCCATGAATCAAATTCATGAAAGCTCAAGACAGCCGAATAAAAGAGTCAAAAAAGAAAATTGGTGTCAACTGATTTGTTTTCCAGCAAATGAAGAAAATAGTATCCAACATAATTATCTCCCGAAATCCATGGCACGATCCTAATCATGTAAGCGCACACCATCCTTCTTCAGATTATTCTCCGAGTGGCAAAAGCATTGATAAAACTGAGTCTGCATTATAAGTAGGATTAACAAGTCACTGGCAGAAATCCTGTAGGCTGAAGCAAGTTAATTAACCCGTCATTAGAAACCGGGGAAGAAGAAGAGGGGACAAAAGGAGCCACAAATAAGCCCAAAGTAGTCACTAACTCACAATTCTGGCCATTAGAATGGACCAAGCTAAAGCCCTTTCGTCAAAGATTTGTTTACATAAAAGGAGAAAAATAAACAGATGCAACTTTCATAGTCACTCGATTTCAAATCTTTATACAGAAACATAATAAGCACATCACACTAAATTTCCATTCGATATGAGCAAAATTAAACTAAAAAAAGAGTCGTTCATACAGTTATTCAAAGATAGTGAACCTTAAAAACGTTGGAACAAGGTATTTCCAATGATGTTTGGTGGGGAACTTTCACTTTCACTTGGTTCTCACAATCTCTGATCACCCTGTAATGTCATCAGCAGATAATTTGAGCAGTGAATTATAAGAACTTTCGAAAAAAAAGGGTTTACGGGCCTTTATAGTGGTCCACTCTGACCCCATCGCCGTTTTCTGGCAGGTCTTTGCTGCTTAACTTCATCTGTTACAGCTGCGACATCATGCTGCAACTTCAGACACCTCTCTACTCGTTTTGGAGCAATTGGTTCTTTGAATCTCTTTAGACGTTTTTTCATTTTTGCCAGTGTCTCCAGTATGCGCTTGTTGTAGTATCCCCCACTGGTGTCACTATCTGTGGTGGATTCTTTGGATTGTTTGTTTTTCTCCTCTAAATGAACCGACAAGATAGGTTTAACTGCCATGGGAATTTGATCCTTTGTTGATGAGCCAACCACTTGGTCATCAGGTTCTTCAATGAGCTGGCCCTCCTCGATTTCATCATCTTCATGATTTTGTGGGATTGATTTCTTGTCCTGGCATTTCTTCATGGTGTGGTCATCTGGGTTGTCTCTATCAAAGTCTCTAACTGCATCCAAACTAACTGCATGTTGATGACTTCTTTTGAGTTTTGAGATACATGAAGCAACCCCTTGCTGACAAGCCCTTTTTCTAAGCCTGGAACTCCTGGCCTTTTTATCTCCTTGATGTTGTGTGTTACTCTGCCTCCCAGTTTTACTTGTATCTAGATTGCCTTGTCTAAGGTGCTACAGCCAGTAAAGATCAACACTTCCATCAGAAAATGCCAAAAAGTGACATTACTGGAATCTAATAGCTAAAGAATGTACGAGAAACATGAGCATTCTCTTAATTATCTCCAGTCTTAATCTAGACAGACAATTTGATGATAAATATCCAATGAAAAGCAAGTCCAAGGAGGTAAGAGATAGAAGCACTATTCTAGTTCAAGATCAATGCCACTAATATCTGACTATGAGGTATCAGTAGCCTCCATTGATCATTCATTTCCCATGTATCCATGAAGCTAAATCTACAGAGATATGGCTAAGCTTGTAATATCAAAAAATAAAATAAAACAGGTTACAAAGATCCAGCAAAATAAGCTCGATCAATCGCATGCAGAAAATAAAATGAACTGATGACGCACCTGAAAAAAAGAAAATATCTTATATGTTATGACAAAAATATCATCTTCTTAGGAGCATAAATAAAAGTCAAAAAATTGTGTCACTTCCCATAATGATCCCCACCATTGAAAAAAAAAAAAAAGGCATATGCACATATACTAAAGATGAACTAAAATTTGTCTAATAGAGTAAAAAAGAGAACATCCAGAAAGAAATGAGCTCAGGCATCAGAAAATTGCACAGATACTTTTAGGAGCCACCACATCTTTATTATGAGATGATTTAACCAAGCTAAGGTACTAGCTTTGGATAGATTAACTAACCAAATGACATTTATTTTTTTAATATTGAACATTCTTAATGATCAAAACTCAAAAGTCTGTTCATAAGAAATTCTATAAAAAGTCCTATGGAAAAGAATTTTTTTAAATACACCTAATCATCTCTAAATCTTAGAATAGAAAGCAGATGCAAGACAAACAATTTCATCTAAAATACCATGACTGACATAGACTTTGTGCAACACAATCAATATCAAAGTATCTTAATACAAGCTAGCTAATCTACTCCATAATACATGACCATATATTCAGTAGCATCCTTTAACCTAGAATCATCAGTAAGTTTCTAATTGCAATACCAGGAATGTCCACTTAAGCACAATAAGTTTGAGACAACATGACAATCTAGAAGGCTTACAATACTGGATTCAAATCTTGACCATAGAGATGGGTTCAGTCCAGTTTTTACAGGTCCAACGGCTGACCTATACGAAAACCACCGGCAAGCGTGCTGCCTAGTACTTGTACTCCACCCTGTCTTTTCCTTCTAATTTTCATTTCTTATTCTCTTTTTCTTCCTATTATTCTGCTGCTATGTTCCTCCTACCTATCGCATCGCTGCCTCCTACATATCACAGTTACTCTTCTACGTCCTCTTTTAGCACCTCTCTTTTCCTTTCTGCCAATCCAACCTATACTAAATATACTATGAGCTGGTACCACACCAATCTGATTGCCAAACAGATTCTTTCATTCATGGTTACAAATTTCCATTAAAACAGTTTTTAAATTTCCTAAGAAAAACTGCAGATTTTGTTGTGTGGCATGAGCAATTATATTTTGTAAATGGTCAATCTAACCCAAGCTACTCAAGTTTGTTCCATCATGCATGCTTCTGCAAGATCTTCCATTCATCTTTTACTAACAAGATTTTTCTTCAACGCAAATAAGAAAACTATAAAATTCTGCTAGTTCACTAGTTTTCTCAATAAGTGACATTAAATAAAAATCTAAACAAAACTAACTAACGTGTAAGGAGAACTAAGATTGAAGTGATCAATAAGAACAAGGACATACAACAAGGAACATCCACAACTGTTTGCTAAATGTCTAGTGGAATTATTCTTATAGAGAATGAGTAGATAGAGACACTTGGAAGCAATAGAGCTATTTCTTGTTCATAATAGATTATGGGCAAAAACAAAGAAAACATACTTTGTCAATCACATGATATCACACATGAGCTGACATAGATATGTCTGGAAAACGAAAAATAGAGCATACGAGATAAAGTATCGATAGTCTAAGAACTTGAAGTTGCATTAGAGAAGACTGACTAAGGCTTTCAATCTCAGTTTGCCATCAGATTTTTTGGAAGAATTATTGCATTTTAAGGATAGTAGCATGTCCACAGAATTGGGTTTATATTCTAGAAAATCTAAAACTTAGGAAGAATTTGGGGCACTTGCCACTGTTGGACAGGCTAGAAAAATGACACAACATAATCTGACAGAATTTCTTTGTGTAGGGGTTCTGATCCCAGAGATAAATAAATCTTTCTCCCAGTTTGTTGATCTCATGAAACATGTATACAGTATCACTAGCATCAATGTCAAGTTTAATGGTGTATAAGATGACAATGTTGGATTGAGCATTTGAAATAACAATTTTTTTAATCTAGCTCCAGGAAATAATTAGAGTTTGTTGACTATTCAGAAATCAAACAGTAGAAAAGATGTCTGGAACAGTATGCAGAACAGAGATGGCAACTTTAGATCCAGTGCTGCATGGGAATTGGCCTCCTCCACGTGGGATTAGATTTAGCTCTTAATTTTGATAAAGAAAACTGGTCCATACTTGATTGCTACAGGAAAAAAAGACATCATCTTGCTACCTTCTCAATATCAAATATGTTTTATGGGTGACAAGCTTAAGAGGGTAATGACCACAAAGTACATATTATGAGATGAACTGCCATAATGCATAAGTGTATCATAGCAACAGCTACATCTTTTTTCACTTAGTATGCAATAATTCCTCCAAATTTTGCACTTGAACATGATAACTACGAAAATCAGAAATACATTAATATATTGGACAATCCACATAATCCAGGATGATTTTGTTGAAATCCTTTAAATAGAATGACAGTATTGAACTTAATTGTACCTTCAGAGTTCATATAGAAAAAGAAATGAAAGAATTATAAAGATAAAGCAGGCATGAACTTTTTATCTGAATACCAGCCAGAGATTACAAGATGATGTCACACCACATTAAGCCATAAACTTCGAACCAGGGTTTGTCATATCTGTGCCAGTCCATAGTCAAACAGAATCGGACCCGGTCGGTGTTGACATATCAACACACCTTACACTAGGACATACCGTAGTACCAAGATGGTAGCCGACGGGTAGACAAGCGCCGAACAGGCTGACAAACTAATGGCTGTGAGCTGACGGGCTGATGATGGCAAGTGGATGGGCCAGCAGCATGCAGTGGCAGGCGACACGAGGGAGGCAAGCACGAAAGGCAAGAGAAATCATGACAGAGAGGTGGCAAGGGGTAACCCTAATAAGAAAAACAAAAATAAACAAATTGGACTTCCTACTCGCTCCAAGCGATAAGCCAAGCAAGTATTAGACCTGAGTTCTGAAAAGAGGTGGTTTGCATCCCAGTTTATGACCAAATTGGCAAATACCGGCTGCAGTGTGCCAGTCCATACGGAATGACAAACCTTGCTTTAAACTACGTGTAATAAAGACTACTATTAGAGTTTGTATAGATAATAGAAAAAGAAAAAGATCAAAGACTGGGCTTTAGGTTTGTTTAACTTTAAATGATTTCAGAAGAACACCAGTTGAAGCCATTCATTGAAAGAAAGGCTTTTCTTGAAAATGCACTTCCTTTTAGCCAGTTTTGTCTACCAAGCATTGTAACTTCTACTTCAGGTGTAAGTCTACTTCTGGAAGGCCACTTTCATCAAAAGAAACAAGATAACAAATAAGAAAACTGTTTAGCATTATTCAGACAGCCAAAGAATATCAATATAAGCACTATTTAGCTGAAAGAAATCAATTTAAATGGGTGGATCCAGGAGAGTTTTAGGAAAACCTAAAAAGACTTATCAGAAAAGATGAAAAAGGGATGATGGGCCTTTGTTTGAGTAGTCATATAGCCCTCAACAGAGGTTAACAGAGAGAAAAGAATCAATGTAGCCAACCTAGATAGTTCACAGCTTTCTCTTGTATGATTCTCCAAAGATCAAGCAGTAACAAAGACTTCTTCCTAAGGAGAATGAAATGTCAAATGTATAAGTTACACAATGTGTATGAATGTAAAATTCCTATATCAGCCAAATTAAACAAATGATAGTCAAACCAGCTTGGGCTTAGGAAAGGAACACAAACCAATCTCTAACAATGGTTAATAGTGGCTCCTGCCTCAACATAATGTGACCACTGCAACATGGATGCCACTATTCTGACAACACACTGTATATTGGATGTCAGTAAGAAATTATCTGCTTAGTTCCATTAGCTAAAGTCATTATCAATTTTGTTTTCCCTGTAATCCCATCTAAAATGGGTAAATCAAACCACATTACTACCCATTAAAATGTCGATTTCTTGATTAATGATTTTGGCATGTCCATGCTGAGTTCCAGCATGTTTCATCCATGATGCAAGTTTCATTCAAGGCATGTTCTTAATACCAAAACTAGAATCCAGGATGATAACAATCTGGATTTTTAAAGTAGATTAATGGCATCCAGACAACAGAAAGAAGTCAGATCCAGTTACCTATTTCTAGAGCATGCACTCCTTTATGATCGAGCTAAACTAGTGATTTAAAAAGCGTTAGGCGCCAAGGTCCCAAAGCGCCCGAGGCTCGAGCAAGCACTCTGAAATATTAAAATATAAAAAATATATAATACAATTGATAAAAAGAGATTAACAGTGCTAAAATCTAAATATGATCTATTATATGATAGCAGTAGTTAACAATCTACTGTTAACAATATTTAATCTACTGTTAACAATAGTTAAGAGGGGAGAAAAGAGTCAACAGTGGAAAGTGAGGAAGGAGAGGGCGGGGTGATGGAGAAACTTTTAGAGGATGGTGGCGGTGGAGGAAGCTGCAAACGGCAGCAACAGCAACGGAGGAAGCTTCGAACAATAGCAATGGTGGAGGAAGCTGTAGACGACAGCACTAGCGACAGAGAAAGCTTCGGACGGTGGCGGTAGTGACTGTTGAATCCCGAATTTTGATGATGAAATCAATTGATGAATTTATGAACTAATTATGCATTTGAGATAAGTGACGTAGGAGAAACTT